AAAATTCCAAAAAACTCCAAATTTTCAATTTTTTTTTCGTGAAAAAAACTCATAGGCGTATTTCTGGGGTTGAATTATACTACCAGTTAAAATACTTGCTCTTATTTCTGGGACACCCTGTATAAACCAGATATAAACAGAAAAATACCTGGTTGCCGCTGATTATTGAAAAAAGTTCGTTAACACTTAAATTTAAAAAATTAAATTGTTTGAATGAAGGTATTTAAGATTTAGGTTTAAAGCGTATATTTTTCTGGTTGCGAGTAAACGTCAAGAGATGTAAAACAACCTATATCTGGCCATGTCATATTGCCATGACTTGCCATCACTAAAATATGAGATATATTTTTATAAATTCACTTTATAAAGTTTTAGCAGCAGTATTTATAATATATGAAATTCAAATAATTATTTTTTTGACAGAAGGAAATAAACTGTCTGATGGTTTGACACTTAATGTCAAACCATCAGTATGTCAAACCAGATATCAGTATGTATGTCAGTATGTATCTATGTATGTAATGTTAAAGGAAGATAGATAAAATCAAAAAAAAAATTCGCTTTAAAACTAAATCTTAAATAACGTTTTATTTTAGGTATAGGAACATAATCAAAATGTAACAAATTGAAAAACATTTTCACTAGTGAATAAAAAATGGGGTTTCATTTGAAAAAATGAACAATTTAATTATTGAAATAAGCAGCCACATGTCTTCTCTTTATATAACAGTGGCTGTGGTATTCACTAAATTTGATGTTTAGGCTATAGATTTTTTTTGACAGGCAGTTTTTTCCTCCAAAAATTTTAAATATTTTTTTTCTCAAAAACCGGTTAATGTTAGGTATAGAGTCATTGATATCAAAATTCATAAATTTTACAGAGAATTTAAGTATGTAACAAAAAATGGGGGTACCCATTTGAAATAAGAAAGTTGCTGTAAATTTCCGATGTTTCCGAAAGTGTCGCCATATTGAAAACATTTTTAATCGATAGATCTCATTGTGAAACAATGATGTGCAAAAAATCTCTGATCTAGATTTTGTAGTTCTCTAGAAGCTTCTAATTCACGCTCAGCCTGGGACGCCCTGTATATCATCTATTGTTTTTTTTGCTATTTACAAATAATTTTAAACTTTTTGCAGCAGTAAAACAATACCTTTAGTTTAAAAACGACCATCTGAACATTCTGCAAAAAATAAAAAATGTAAAAAGCAGAGGATATACGCTCTTTATAAGTACTTAATAAAATACGGCTTTCTTTCTGCAATTTTCTATTATTTTATTAGAAATTTCTCCGATCGTGGCGTTCTGTCACACTAACTCCTAACTTACTTTCATTTCGATGCGTTCTAAATAACATTTAACAAATTGCATGCTTTCATTGCAAGACATAAAGAAAAGACTTAATATTACTCGATACGCAAACGCAAAAGAAATATTGCAAAAAGAATACATTTTTCGTGGAATCATCACGATGTTAAACCACAATTCGTGAACTCTAGATAATTAAACATTGTTTTTTGGTAAATACCAGTTGATTCTATGTTCAATGATCCATATACACACATGGCCAAAATTATTGCATAAAACGATATTTTTATTTTATTTTGGACCTAATATGATTCTTTTTATATTTTTGAACATATTGGCTTACTACACGACTAACTAATATAAAATTAAAAATCTAGGTGCAACTAGGCTGTTATTATAATTTTTTCATAATGAGGGAAAATCAACAAAAACAAATTTCATTTTAAACAGAAAATATTGACAACAATTTTAATTATTTCTCACAACTAATAGTCTGCATTGTCTCCTCGAGTCTCAATGCAAGCTGTGAGACGACGTGGCATGCTCTCAATTAAGTTGTCCAGAAGATGTTGAGGAATCGCTTCCCATGTTTCACGCGCAGCAATTTGCAATTCATATAAGGAACGGGGGGATCATTCCTTTTGACAATATGGCGTTTTAGCATGTTCCAAGCATACTCGATCACATTTATATCTGGAGACATCGGTGGCCACCACAGGTTTCTTATACCCTCTTCCTCACAAAATTCGCGAACCGCTAAAGAGCGATGGGGAGGAGCATTATCGTCCATGTAAACAAATTCATCCCCACTGCCCCTCGAAATGGACGCACAATAGACTCTAAAATGTCTCTAAGATATGAGGCACCTGTCATTGTACCATCAATAAAAACAAGAGGAGTTCGAGCTCCATGGCATTATACCTGCCCATACCATAATGCTTCCCCCTTGAAACTGGACACAGGGTTGAGCTGCATTCAAGCGTGCTCGTCTTCCAGATGTTCTCCAGATCAAATTTCGTCGCGAGTCTGACACTAGGCCTATTCTTGTTTCATCACTAAACATGACGAAATTACAATTAGGTCCATTTGCTCTCATCTCCTCAGCCAATTGTAGTCGCGTAATTTTGTGCTGTAAATTAAGCTTCGGAACTCGTAGAGGCCTCCTTAAATGTAATCTTCTGTCATGGAGTCTTCTTGCTATGGTCTTTCTTGAAACATTTACTCCTTCAAGGCGAGCTAACTCATTTTTAATAGCAGTACTAGAAAGCAGGGGATTGCGTCGTGCAATTAGGGATATTTGACGGTCTTGCACAGCAATAGTAAATCTCTTTCTACCTCTTCCAGGCCGGTCTGTAACCTCGTTTGTCTCCCTGAATTTTTTTAATATTCGCGAAACATCGCTTTGGTTAACTCCTACAATTTCAGCTATTGCAACTTGCCGGTAGCCCTGTTGAGACAGTGTTACTATACTGACTCTATTAAACTGTGAAATAATGTTTCTAGGCATTTTAAGGCCAAAACAATGGTCAAATTTCTTCTGAAACCCAAGAATTTGTAATAATATTGGGTCTGAACGATAAACATTGTTTACCATATCCATTTTAACAAAAAAGTTTATTACAGATTATCAAAGCTATGTATAAAAAAAGATTATTTAAATTCCTTTCTAGAATTTTCACAAATTCAGTGCAGTTTCATTTTCAGTGCAGTTTATTAAGATTAACATGATGAAAAACAAAATTATCTCAGGTTAAATTAAATAAAATAAAATAAGACTTTCTTAAATTAGGTTGTTTTATGTAAAAAAGTTAAATAATGCATTTTTTGTCACATTTATGATAATAAGAATAGACCATATTATATTTTTTAGAAAGCTCATAACAAAACAAATAAAATACAAATGAATACAGGAGGTCCCATTTAAAAAAAGTTTCTGTCATATTTCAAAAAAGACAGTTCCCTGAGAAAAACTAGTTACGCCTCTGGATTCTACGCGAAAAACTCTACAGGACACAGTTTTCAACTTTTCGATAAGTAATAAGAATCCAAAATATGAAGGGGGTCGAAAAATGCAACATTTTCAAATTCTCCCTGTATTTCAGAAACAAAGAGGGCTGGAACAAATTTATGCGTAGTCAGTGGCGGATACAGAGGGGGGCCCATGGGGTCCAGGCCCCCCCTAAAAATCTATAGATTGGGTTAAATATTCGGCTTTTGGGTTAAAAATAGCGCTCTAAAAGCATTCTCTACATTATTTTTTATTCGGGCCCCCCCTAAAATAAATTTCTGTATCCGCCCCTGTGCGTAGTGTCATAAAAAGAAACCCCGTCAAACTCGAAAATGGAACACACTGTAGTACTTCTTGCTAAAGAGCGTGCTTTTGATTACTTTGTGCAGATTAAACAATTTTTATCGTCTTAAAATATTATGATACCTGTATGTTTTATTACCTTTTGCGACAGAATATGTATCTACGGCAATAATTTGTACGTATGCAATACTTACATACATTTATCCTTGAAGAACATTGTTAATACGCTTTTAAAAAGATGTAAATGCTCGATAACTTTTACGTATATGCGCTAATTTTATAGATATGTTATATAACTAATAATATAGTCGGCCTGATTAAAAACCGTTTCTCAATTGCGATTATTACATAGTTTACATTTTTGAAACAGGTGTAAAATTGTATACTTAAAATATGCATTTTATTTACCAGTCAGTCTAAAAGAGAGAAACAGAAAGGGTATTTTATACAGGGTGTCAAAAAATAGTGTATTTGACTTCGGCAGGTGATTCTACAGATAAAAATAAAACAAAAAGTTCCTATTAATCAAAATTATCGAACCTGTTATCAATGACATAAATGACACATTTTGATTAAATAGTTATTAGACTAAAATTATAAATTTGAAATGTTTTTGTGCCAAAAGTTTAACAGAAACTATTTCATCATCATTTTTTGAAGAAAAAGGTATGATTAATTTAAAAAATAAAAAGTTCCCAAATTTATCGTTTAATTCATTTCTGTTTATTTTTTTGCCAATAATGCGACATGTATTGACTATCTCCATCTTGCGAACGATTGCACATAGCGATTTTTACCAAGAGACATTTTTTACGTAAAAAATCACGGAAATATACATTTTTTCATTCAGTAGTTATATACAGAGACGGACGAAAAGTTATTACTCTTCAAAACCGTTAAAACCTTTGGTTAAAACATAGTTAAAACCTTCTTATTCAAAGGTTAAAACAAATGTAAGTGGCGCCCCCTACAATTAGGAGTCATATTGACCTCAAAATCAAATTTCTCATGTCAAAGAACTCCCAGACACCAATTTTCATCCAAATATTGACGTTACTTCAGAAATTGTTTGAAAAAATCTAAATAAAAATGAAACTTCTACAGCCTGTATCTCAGAAACTAACCAATTTAGGACATACTTTTATAGAAACTTTTTTACTTATTTTTATCTGCAGGATATGCTACCGAAGTTTCCGGAATACAGTTCGGACCACCCTGTATAATATAAACACCAACACTAGATTCAAAACATTAGACAACCAGTAAAACAAGTATATCCCTTTAATAAGTCAGCAGTCGGCAACCAGTCATACAACCATATGATTTTGACGTTTCGTACACAAACAACTGCGATTTCATTCAAAACAATTTTCGCAGGTTTCCAACAACAATCAACATCACGTCGCCGCGGCCGCGGACGACGTAGAGAGCGGGGTCCGGGTCAGAGAAGCCAAAGGTACCACCGACGACGTCAACGGCATCATAGCGCCGCGAAGGAAACATCAGCGTCGCCGTCAGCGTCAAACAGTCCACGTTTGGCTCCGTCGCCTAGCGATCATGGCCGCCCTAGTCGCTGTCCTAGTAGGCCTGGCCGCGGCCGTCTGGTACTTTTTCGGGTTCCTGTTCCTCGTCGAGCTGTTCCTGGTGGCCGTGGTGGCCTATCTGGCTGCCGGACATTGGAGGTGGTTCTACGTGGCCGCCGTTACGGCACCGAGGGATCTGAGGTGAGTTTTCCGGGGAAATGTGGGGCTGTGGGTCAAGGTCGACGACCCCGCGGTTAAGAGAAGCTTGTGTTTACGGGATTCAGTTGTTTCGTGTGGTTAATTGATTTAATTTAAGAGCCCATTTCACTAGTCCGAAAAAGTAGCAAAATAAGCATACGGCATTTAACGTTTTATGTAAAACTGGCTAGGTATTTTTACACAAATGAAGAAGGAAATTAAAGATAAAGGATGATACTATATCCGTATTGTAGTACATTTTTAGACAACTTCTTTATTTTTAAGATTTTTATGGCCAAACATCAACAAAATATTTCTTACGTTTGGCCTAAATTTTCTCGAAAATAAAGACAATTTAAAATTCCGTTACAATACGGAAATAGATTGAAGTTTTGTGATTACAGTGATATATAATTTATATGGTTTTGTAACAAATTGCTCGCCATTTTATGGCAAATGCTGAAGCTCTGTTGATGTTTGACCGACAAAATCTTAAAAATAAAGTTGTCTAAAAATGTGCTACAATACGGATAGGTATAATATAATCCTTTATCTATAATTTCCTTCTTCATTTGCGTAAAAATTCCTAGCCAGTTTTACATATAACGTTAAATGCCGAACGCTTATTTTGCTACTTTTTCGGACTAGTATAATATTTATACAGAGTGTTAATATGACTTTTATTCTTTTCTTATTTTGAATTATACCAACTCCCTACTTTATTAGATATTTTCTTAGGACACGTTACAGCTACTAAAATACCGTATGATTGAAAAAAATGCGTCCAGTTGGTTTTCCTAGGTTTCATTCCTAATATTATTTTGCATATAAAATGACAGGCAATCTTCATTTCATAGACATCGCTGACGCCGTTTTTTTTTTCGATCATATATCGAAATCATTTTTCGATCAGTTATAGATATTGTATCTATAACAAATGACAAATTACCAGTAAGTAGTAAATTTCTTAAACAAATTAATTGGTTTAGCAATCGTTTTAAGAGAAAATAGGTATTCGCTCAATTGGAAATCTAACAAGTTGGAATAAAACCAGTTTTTGCGAACTATGAAAACAGAATAAACAGTCTGATCTAATGAAAACAACGTCATGGTAGGCTAGAAACAACATTTCAGTTACAGCTTTACATTTAATCTGATGGTGTTTGTCACAGCTGATCGTCAATCGTTTGTATAGTCTGTCCAACGAGTAAATGCATGACAGTGACAGTTGTGTCTGTCGTTTAATCCGTAACAGTATTATTTTAGGTTACAGTTGTGACCTGGAACCTTTAGTGTTACAACAACAAAATAAAACACTAAAGCTTCATTCAGAACCTGGCAATTAGTGGAATAAATTAGTGGTTTCAATTACACTTCATACTTTTTAAAGTAAAGAAAAGTAAATATTTCAGTTAAGTCTCCTTTTTGCTGTCAGGGCTAATCTGGACGGGGCCTACTTTGTTTACGCGGAATCCTAACCGCGGTCCTCGGCCATATCATGGTCTATGGCCTACCGACTTGGCAAGTGTCTAAATCAACTCTTACTCACGAGATATCCGATTTCTCATCCGGCCTCGAACTGGCGTGAATGAGCAGTGTGTGTCAATAGATTTTACACTTTTGCCTTTATTGGACAACAGCACGATACAGTTTCGAACCGGTCACCCGTCCATCCACTAGTATCGCCTTACGTCGCTTAACTTCGGTGTTCTAATGGGAACCGGTGTTTCGATGTAGCTAGGCCGTATTTCTAACCAGAATTTCTCTTGACGGAAGATAATCAAATGCCAAAATGACATTTCTCGCAAATTTTGAACTATAATTAGTGGAAAAGTTAAAAGTTTGATAACTTTTTCTACTAATTGAAAATGTCTACCACTAACTTTGACGTTGTGAATGCTTGCCAAACCAAACAAACTTCTACGCTAATTGAAACCAATAATTGTGGGGTTCTAAATGAAGCTTAAATCGCCACAAGACACCAAAACACTTTACTTTTCGGTGTATTTTGTGGTGATTTAGTGTTTTATTTTGTGGTATTATTTTCTTCATAAAATGCAAATAGACTAAATTTTATTTTGTTGTAATTTATTGGTAAAAGATTTGCCGAATCAAATTGTTGAATTTTAAACGAAAACTGTCGCTGTTGTCAAGAAAGTCATAATTTCAATACAATATAGTCATTAATTTTAATATGTATGCCTAAGTATTACAGTATTCCAATTACACAGAACAATAAAATTAGTCGCTATATTTTGTTTGCTGTAATATTACTTCACGTTTTGAAGTATATTAAATTAAAAAACGTCATAAGGTGGTAATGTTCCCGGTTAGTTGACCTTTAATTTATTATTAATAAGGTGTTTTTCCACTCTAAATCAGTTATTAAATGCTATTTCGAAACCATCTAGAAATATTTAAACGCACATAGAGATTTCAATATACACTCACCGGCAACAAAAACGGGCACCTTAAAATGTTCCTGTATTTTAAAGTTTAATATACAGAGTGGTCCGAACTGTATTCCGGAAACTATATGCCAATAAACGTAGCCAAGTATTATATGTAAAGGTGGAAAAAATTAGTAACCAACCAATCTCAACAGGAATGTGTAGATAATAATCTCCTATTTAACCCCTCAAAAGTCCCATTCGGTTCCCAATGGATTTGAAAAAAACCGCCGCCATCTTGGATGTTTTCGTTTTTTTCAAATATCTCCGTTTGCATAACTTTTTTCGAAAAAACTAAAGATATGTTTTTTGTAGAGAATTAAATTTACAATATTCCTTCAATCGTTTTCTTTCTAAAATAAATAGTAATTGAGATAGAACAATTTTTTACTATACGTTTTATAAATTTTCCAGTATTTTTAAACCATCAGCTGTAATTTTTGCGTTAACAGTATAGTGTTAATATAGATAAACCAAGTATAAATTTAAGCATTAAAACAATTAAAAATAACGTTTAAATATTATTTATTAAGTAAAATTATTGTTAAAAAAGTGTTAAATTAATGTTTTAAATAAAATCTGCTATGGCATCATTCTGAGCGTCATTTTCGTCCTCAACTAAAATACAAAAGTTTGTGCAACTGATTCCGTAGCACTGACCACACTTTGAAGAACATTTAAGACCCAGTTTTCTACAAGAGCAATTTTTAGAGCCCTGACTCTCTTTGCAATTGCAAAAAATTGATTTTAGTTAGGTCAGGAGGCGCCACATCTTTTGTTGATTGAATAGGTGTTAGATTGCCTTTTTGATCTTTCTTCCATCCATATTGTATTTTGTAATAAGGATCTAACTTATTACAAATCCCATTCTTAAATCTAAAAAATACAACTTATAACATTTCATATAATAGATATTATTACAGTTACCTGAAGGTATGTCCTAGATAAAATGCATTATCGTCCATCCATAATCGGAATTACAAAATATGAAAAAAGACTATATTGACATCAAAATCACATTTCTCATGTCAAAAAACTCCCAGACACCAATTTTCATCCAAATATTGACGTTACCTACTTCAGAAATTATTTGGGAAAAAATCGAAATAAAAATGATACTTCAACACCCTGTATCTCCCAAACTAAGCATTTTGGGACATACATTTATACGAACCTTTTTACTTATATTTATCTGCAGAATATGTTGCCGAAGTTTCCGGAATACAGTTCGGACCACCCTGTATTTTGTTCTAGTGGGCCGATTTTGATGATATTTAAGCAAGCTAAATTATTTGACATTTAATATCTCTTTCTAAATTAAAAATGAAAGTTCCTATCTAACAACTTAATAGCATAAATAATTTTGAAATTTTAGTCACAACTCAAAAATAACAAAAAAAAAGGAGTTTTACACCACTTGACCCTGCATTTAAATCCCCAAGCTAAATTCTAAATACGATCATTTAGTTTGAAACTATGCCTAATTTATAACTTAAGAGTCTATTAAAAATTATACTGGTCCTGTTCGGGTCGCTTTCAGGGGTCGGGTAAAGCGGGTGTGTATAGCTGAAGGAAATATATACGTGTGTTACCATAGACTTAAAATAAAATATAGACTGAGCATCTCATTCATAAATAGCTGGAACATGCGGTCAGACACTGTCTTGTTATTGTTGTGTTATTGTTTTAGGTTATAACGAGTGGGACACGAGCGATAGATCGGTTGTCTCTGTCGTAACGGTCGTTCCCTGACGACTCTGCCGAGAAACACAACACTGTCTTTCGTTTCTCAAGTACACCTGAACTCTCCGTATCATAGCCGGGTAATTTTTTTATTTTAATGAAGCTATAATTAAATTAAAAATATATCGTATTTAAACTTTTTTATATTTTATTAAGATTTAGGAAAGGTTTTTTAAATAAAAGTTTAGAAAAAACAATTTAGAGTCCAAAAGGATAAAAATAATAAAATACACGTTATAGAAGAAATTTTATAATCGAAATTAGGTAATTTTTGAAATTAATAATAAATTATTAATTTTAGTCAAACATTTACAACCCCTAATATTAATCAAAACAGGATCTATTCCACAGATATAATAGAATCGGCGACATAGGAGAGAAAAAAAATGATTGTTGTAATTTTTTTCTGGTTAAGTGACGTCTTATTATGTAAATTAGAGAAAACATAAATCTGTTCCATTAAAGCAAGGAAGGTGATAGGAAGTGGATAAAATAAAAACTACATTTATTTAACTCGGTACTGTCTTTATTATACCGGGTGCGTCCCAAAGTGGCTCATCCCCATAATTTTTTTTATATTTTCAAAAAAAAACAAGATTTAGTATGTTAGTATATGAAATAAATTAGGATTGATTGACGCATTCAATTGTTTTTGGTCACTTCCTGTTTCACCGGAAATGACTATAACTTTTAATTTTTAAACGGCACCCTCGGTATATTTCTACTTTATTCGATAGAAAATGACACTCTGAATAGAATGACATATCATATGTCAACTTTTGACATTTTCGCATATGATTTAATTGTAAT